CATCAACTTGCACATTATATAAGAAGCAAGCAAATAACTGTAGCGAAGCAAGAGCTTATGAGGCGATAGCGCGAGATCCTTGCCTCACCGGCTTCACTCCACGATATTTCAAACAACTTCAGAAGAATGATGAATGTAAGTGTCCCAATCTTCTCTTGATTTTCGATGTTTTTTCCTCCTCAGTAATCCTTTTTGCGCTAAGATTTTCTTTCTTCATCTTTTTATTTCCTTGATTTTTTTTGTTGTCATCCTCCTTTAACTTTACGTTTTTATATTTTGCACTCTCATCTTTAAGAATTTCATTTAATTTTCCAAAAATTTTATTGCAAAACTTCAAGTCATTTGTGTCTAATATTGGTACACTGAGGGTTGAGTAGAATTTTTTGTAAATAGCGAACTGTAAGTAGACGCGGAGGGTGGCGATAAGGAGAGAGGAGAGACTAAAAAACTGAGTAAATAAGCTTTTTATGACCAATTATTCTCGAGGACTACTTGAATCATAAAATCTAAATAATTGCATCCATGAAAGTAAACGCCGCCAAGTCATTAATGGTGGACCTAGCTGCTTTTGCGTATATAGATTAATATGCCCATGAATATAGAGTCTTTCAGAAGTGTAATACCAATAATAATTTGAGGATTATTTACCGATAGTATAAATTTCAGGTTTTATCGAAATTGAAGATTTGTTACAACAATTCGCAGATCCCACTAAGACCAGTATCATGGATATCAAAGTTGGCACAAGGTAGGAATTTATTTCGATAATTTTAAAATAATTCTCAAATTCTTAAACGCTACTCTGCCGCATTTTTTGTTAACAGCGGCACGCCTCAGCATATCTAGCAGTTGTTACCCACGCGCGGTTAAAGCGTCAAGTGAGGTCGAGGACTATTAACTCCCTTTAAACTCCGTCTCTGGGCAACTATTCCATTTCAATGTGTTTTGTTGAGTGTAAAGTGACGGTATAGAGCCCGGGCAGAGAATTAGTGCAAAACTGATTCGGAATTTTCAGCCCCAAACCCAATATAAAACACCAGTCCCAAATGGGATTCTGAGTTTTCTCTTTCGATCACGGTATTCACCTTTAGCGGTTATGAATGAAGAAAGTAGTGACATTAAGAGAAGAAGCGTGCTGAACTTGTTCTAAAGAAGAGTAGTAGAGTAAGAAAT